GCTCTTGTGATGGCGTTTGATAGTGGGGATTTTTCTGTAGCGGATTGCAACAAAAATGAATGTTCGTGGCGAATTGCAAATGGATCGCTTTTGAAGCAGATTGCACATCAATTCCTTTTGTGGTAGATTGCAAAATCATTGCTGTTCTGTGAAGGGTTGCAAAATGATTCCTTCTGTGGCGGATTACAGGTTGATTCTTCTGTGGGCGGGCAGTTAGGAGAAAGCTACGGACAACTTATGCAGAAAAAAACATACAAAATCACTGACAACATGAAAATCTAACATGTTCGATGTTTTTGGTGCCGGAAGACTAAAGACTTGTGTGAACACGGCGCTCTCAACCTCTCACGCTCCGGAACCGTGATTCATTGCGGGGGTTGCACTGCACAGCTCGGGCGGCTCCGACCTGGTCGGAGCCTCGGATATCCCTGTGGGGCAGGGATGCGGCGACCCCGACGGAGCATCGAGAGGCGAGGCAAGGCGAGGGCGAAGGCCTGGATGCTCAGCGTCGGGGGCGGGCTGCACACCCACAGCCGCCCGCTGCACACCTCCGAAGGGCGGGGCTGGCCAGCGCCATCACTCTGACTACGTACCAGAGCACCCCAACCCAACCCGAAGACCCGAATTTGACCCGAATTTCGGGTTGGGGGGGTTCGGGTTCCGTATGTTTTTTCAATGTTCCCCGACCCCCATCCCACTGGAAATGGAGGGCAAACTGAGGCCTTCGGGTTGGGTTGGGGTGGTTTGGTGGGTGGTGGTGACCCTCGCCCCTCCGTCCTCCTCGTCCGCTGCCGCGACCACGGTCGGGGAGACGTAAGACTTGGCGTAAGACTTGGGTTCTGGGGACTCGGGTTGGCCTGTCGGGGCCATCATGCAAATGACGAGACCCAGTGTAAAATTTGACGCGAGCTCCTGCTGCAGACATCCTAAGAAAACTGGAACATCAAAAATCCAAGGCGCGCTCGCCGAAAAGCGTCGGCAAACCCGAGGTCCTGCGTACGCGAGTCTTACGTTTCCCCGACACGACTGAGGCAGCCACATGCGAGCCCTACCCCCGCAGGTCAGACTCGGTCTCCAATATTCGAGGGATGTCCATACCAAGCGAACCCCAGCCCGGGTGTCCGATATCCCAGCGTCGATGGGATCCACAGGGGTAGGGTGCGCCATGGGTCGAAGGTGACTGCAACAGCCGCTAGAGCCTCTTGGAGCTGACTTGGAAACCTGCGGTCCAGAACGTTCGCTTTGCGTGCCGCGGCGGCTGCCCCGGCGACACGCTGTGCCTTGCGAGGGGTCGGCGAGTCGCTTCGCTCCGTGGGGCGGGAGGCTGGAAAAGCTCCGAGCTTGGACGCTCGGGGACCTGGTCGTGGGTAGCGTGTTGCGCCGACGCATGGCTGGCCAGAGCTGGCGCCGCGACACGCTAAGCCGAAGTTCCAGCCCGTACACCGCGGACCTCTCAACGCCGCTCGGTGGACGGCGCGGGGTTGCGCGATGTGTGGCGGTGTCGTGCGGCGATGCGTGGTGTTGTGCGGTGTGCCGCGGCGGTGCTGCTCTGACGAGCTGTCAGATGGTGAAACAACTCTCATGGACGGGCACGAAACAACGACTACCACTCCCTCCTTCTTCCTCACTGAGTCCTGGAGGAACGGTGTCCTGGAGGTCGTTCGCCATTCTCGGGCCCCTAGGCCCTCCTCGGGCCCCGCGACCAACCAGGACCGCGAAGCGCGAATAACTTCGCGCCCTCGTGGAGTCCTTGGAGATCCGACGACTCGACAACATTTGAAACATCGTGGAAAATCACGGCTGGAGCCCCTGGGCCCTGCAACCTCTCTGCGCCATGTTTCGAGCCGCATCGATCTCTGAGGGTCCCAGGGCCCGAATCTGAACGACAACGCTCGGCTCAAACAAAACTGAGACGCAAGGAACAGGCAATGCTGTCGACAATCGCACTCATCCTTTTTGTGTTTATTCCGATCGTACAGGTCCAGGTGAGGGAAGGAGAAGCGACGCCAACACCACGAGGGGGCCAACAGCGGGGAAGTCCACGATGCCTCCCCGAGCTGGGGATAAGGGATTGCTTCACAGCGTCGACCCCCAGAGGTCTCGCAGGGGCCCGGCAAGGGCCCCCGGAGGCCGAACATAGCGCCCCCCCCCCCCTGCGCGAGTGTCTCGCATCGCGAGAGGGGAGGGGGGGGGGGGGGGGGGACACCACCGGGGGGACCCCTCCCGGGCTCCTCTCGCTGGTGGTCCCTGGCGGTGCCCGTGCCGCTGTCCCATGGTCCTGCGAGGACGGCGGCGGGCCCCCTCCCGGGCGAGCGGAGCGCGAACGGGGCCGCCCCGGAGGGCCTCAGCACCGATCCGAGACACCCTCGCGGACCTTCGACGGGTGGAGCTCGTGTCCTCCCAGACATGCGCGCGTCGTGAGAAAAACATCACCACGGCCGCTTCTTTATGTTTTTCGGCCTCTGGGGGCCCTCGCCGGGCCCCTGGACCGTCAAAACTACTGAGGATGAAAAACCAGGTTTTGGGACAGGGTCGGGACTTCTGGGGGCCGCATATCCAAAAACTCAGGACGTCGCATGTCTGGATGTATGCCAGCGCTTGATCCCCAAGGACAACGTCCGATGCCACACCGGCAGCGAGTCTTCGGACGGAGGAGGAGGAAGACGAGGACGACAGACGACGACGGCAGCGGCGCGCCGCGGCGGCACCCCGCTGAGGGGAAACGCTGGGGAAGGACGGGGGGAGGAAACTCGGAAGCTGGGCGAGGGCTGGCAAGCCCGTGGCTGCAACAACAGCCTGGATGGGTGTGGGGATTGGTTTTGAGCAGGGACCGACCGTCCCGGCATTCCTATAGGCCTACCACGAGATGCTCTGATAATACAGAAATGTTCCAACAGCACAAACAATGTTCTTAGAATATAAGCCCGATGAGTTAAAACAAGACAGCCCCAGCCAGAAATGTTCTGATAACATTTCGTGTGCAAACCACAAAAACTCTCAGAACACTGTTTGTTGGGCCTGTAGGCCAAACAAGACGCTTCGCTACTGCTTGAACAAAAACAAACTGGATGGGTATGGGGATTGGCTAAACGATGCCGATGTTCCCATCCTCTGCGTGCCCCTTCCGAGCCTGCCGACCGAGGGAGTGAGGGGCGGGGGGGAAAAGCTTCTTACGGGGAGCAACGACAGGGGGGGAACTGGCAGAAGGGGGGGGATGCATCGACCTAGAATCGTTGACACATCGCCGATCAATCGGCGACAGGCCCACGACAGTGAATCCGCACCTTCCTCGGCAGGTTGGAGCTGCCGGGCCCCTATCGGCGATCAATGGGCGATTGGGGGTCGATGCAATCCCCCTTATGCTTACCCCCCCCATCGTTGCCCCTGATATTAGGAGGCCGCTTCTTGGAAGGTGCCGGCCTTAGCGGCGAGCCTAGGGTTAGGTCGGGAATGTCCTCCTACATGGGGATTTTGGACGAAAAATAAGAAATACTCCAAACATACTTCAAATTTGTCAAAAAATGATCGAAAAGTCGTCCCCAGACTATTTCTGACTAGTTTCAATCATTCCTCCTGTAGAACAACGTGCCCGACTTAAGCCTAGGGGGGACGTGAGAAGGGGCAGGCCTTCTCAGAAGGTTCGGGAGTCCCCTGGCCTTCTGAGAAGGCTCCTGAATTCTCCCCGAAGACACAGGAACATTCTCGGAAGGTGCGCGAAGGCTTCTGACAGGCTCCGCCGCCTTCTGAGCAGGCCTTCTCCCTCTCACTTCTCCCCCTCGCCCGCCGCCGAAGGAAGCCTGGGCTTATGATGTTCCAACCGACTTCGGCCTTGATCACCAGGAAAAATTCTGTGCACCAAGGAAGTACCGACACTGGAGGCTTTTCACGTGTCGGGCCCTGGGAAACGATACTCGTCCGAAACACTCTCTTGACGCTTTTTTCTGGGTGCTCGAACTTGTTTCTGGCATGTGGCCCTCAAGTACGACGGGAACAGCATAAGCCGGGGTGCTTCTGCGAGGCCGCCCCCTCTGCGCGCGGCCGAGGCCGAGGACGGCGACGGGCGGCCGCACCGCGGCAGTCAGCCGGCACAGCGCCGCGGCCACCGGCGCGGCCCGCGCCGAGAGGGTGGACGGCAGCGCCAGGGCCGTGCTCGGGGCCGCCTGGGCGTCCTGCGGCGCGGGCCGGTCGCGCGGCGGCGGGCGGCCACGGCCCAGGCTCGGCGGCGGGCGAGAGGGGGGGGAAACGAGAAGGGGCGGCACTTCTCAGAAGGCTCGGAAGTCCCGCGGCCTTCTGAGAAGCTTCCCGAGCCTCCCCCGAAGGCACGTAGAGCCTCTCAGAGGGCCGGAAGCCTGCCGAGAAGCGCCGCCGCCTCCTGAGAGGGCCTTCTCCTTCTCATTTCCCCCCTTCGCTCGCCGCAAACAGACACCCGGGCGACGATCAAAAACGGGTCTTATGCGAGACGGCGCAGCGACCTTCCGCGGTGGCTTACGCGGGCCACCAGCACGGTGCGCCACGGTAGAGGCTGACGGCGCTTACGCGCGACCCTACGCGGGCAGCTTACGCGCCACTGTCGGCGCAGACGCCCCCGTTTTTTTGGCGTCGCCCACCTGGCGACGGGGCCTCTCGAGGCGCCTCCTCTCGGCAAATTGCACGTAGGAATGCTGCTGGATGAGAGTGGCCGCTGGTGCGCGGCCTTCTGGAGGGCGCGGGGTGACTAACCAAACGCAAGCGCGCAAGGCGCCAATCTTACAAAACGTTCGGCGGTCGGGGGGCGCCACTGGGCCCGCACCAAAGGTCACTCCGGCGACGGGCCACTCTTAAGTGTACTTTATGGCAGCGCTTGTTTCCCGAATGAAATCAAAAGCGAGCGCAACCCAACAACCCTGCAACGTTACGCCACTGCAGCATGGTGGCAATCAGTGGTAGGCTATCAGAGCTTGGTGCAGGTCGATGCTGCGCCGACGCGGTGGCGGAATCTGCCGCAGGCAGCTGGATAAAATGTCGAAGGATGCAGCACTGCAGCATTGGATACTGACCCGTCAAAATCTGGTTTTGCCTCAAGGATTGGACGCAATCCCACTGGAATCGTCTTGGCATTCGCGCTGGATGACCCCGGCGCTGCTGGGGCAGTGCAGCTGCTGCTGTGGCTCAGATGAAGACGCAAAGTGGCCCGCAGCGACTGCGCCGTGAGCAAGTGACTGGACGCAGTCTCCCTACGGGCTTAGGCGAAGCGGCGACCGCGAGTGCCTCTACGCTTCCATCGTCCTAGTCGCTGGCAGAAGTACAAGGGGCACCTCTTTTTTGTCCCACAGACCTCAGTCTGCCATGAGCCAACAGTTGGCAACAATTGGTACACTTAGATTGTCAACAGTTGGCAAGATAAGACCGCAGCGTATAGCCACTATACAATGCTGCAACAAATCATAAACGACAACGCGACGATGGGACTAGACAATTGCGGGACTCGCCACGATCGCCGCCGCTGCCGAGACGTGCATGCTTAGTTACTGAGGCATAGCTCAATCAATTCGTCAGCCGCACTGCAAAGCTCGGCGTGCGCAGTTGCCAGACAGTGGAGGCCATCAGGAAGAAGGAGGGATGGAGACCTGGGAGCTTTGTGGGCCCGCGAAACGGCAGATCCGTTTTTTCACCGTTTCCCAAAAAAGTCCCTTGAAAATGGAAACGGCAAAAAAACGGCGACCGGAAACGGCAACAAAAACAGCTCCAGGATTGGAGCTGGGGCCGGAACCGGTCACAAAAACGGCGACGGAACGGGTAAAAAACGGCGTCGGAACCGGCAACAACAACGGCAAAACGGAACCGGTAAAAAAACGGCCCTGTCGTTTCCAGGGCCCACTAAGTGGATGGAGACCTGGGAGGGGCTCGGAATAAACACCAGGCCGTCTCGTCGGCAGAGGAGCTCAATGTATCGACCCCCCCGAGCTTCTACGCACCGGCTTCCTCCGCCAAGCTCCTGGACTCCATGGCCACACACACACACCAGTAGAGACCTCCCAGATGGGTCGGCGTAGATGGGATCGGAGGATAGCGCCGCACCGACGATACATCGGCGATGCATCAGTGATGCATCGGCTATGCATCGGCGATGCACCAGCGATGCGTCGTCGACGGGGGCGATGCATCGGCGACGTCGACGTGAAGCAAATCGGGCTCCACATCGAGCCGCATCGGCGATGCATCGGCGATGCGGCGCGATCCTCCGACCCCATCTAAGAGCCCTAGAACCGAACGACGTGGTGTATACATCGAGTCCCTCCAGAACGGAGGAAGCGGAGGGGAAGGAGCGAGAGGCACACGGACGCGGACGGCGTGTCATTGAGCCCCCTCCCCCGACGCAGGCGCATGCGATGCGTGCTGCTCCAGATGCCTACGTGCTTGCAAGCTGACTCAGAGAGCCCAGAGCCAGCACGCTGGCTGAGGCCGCCCGCAGGGAGGCACTGGTTAGTGAGATCTGCCGGCCCCAGCTTGCCCGGGGCAAGGCGTGTGAGATCAGAAGGCTGGCCACCCCCCAAGGCCTCAAGGGTTCCCCCTTCCCCGAGATCCAACCAACATGCCCATGGAAGGCGCAAGCCCATCGACGCAACGCTGAAGCCTTAGGAGGACAACAAAAGCGCGCACTGGGCCTTGGAAACTTGAAAGTGTCCCAAGGTGGCTAACGGGTGCGGCTGGACCTAGGACAGAAGAACATCCTTCAAGAACATCAGGCCCTCCGCAGGCCAACACCTATAGAACATCCAAGGGTACCCTGCCCAAGATGTGCAAGAACATCCGACAAACACGAAGGACATCAACGTACCCTCCCCGAACCGACCTCCATCCTATACCTCGGTCTGGCCGTAACCGACGATAACCGAATAACACTTCAAAATCGACCCATGCTGGCCCACGGTGGCCTCCCGAAGATACCCTTCGCTGGCCCCAAAATGGCTCCGCGGTAATGTTCGAAGTAAACGGGCACAGCAAGCACGTGTGACATAAAATTGGCATTCCCCACTTTCGGGCGCAAGATGCTCCAGGCCCGAACAGCCACCACAACAGCCTCCAACGGGCTCCAGTTTTTCCCAAGACGGCTTCCAGGCGGCCCAGTAAGCTTCTAAGACACTCCAAAAAGACGGCCCCGAGGCCCCTGTCTCTCTATGGGGCGACAAGAAAGGACCAAAAAGACTCCCAAACGACTCAAGCATCCCAACATAGCTCCGAACACCTCCCGAAACGGCCCCCTCCAGTAACACCCAGAGATGTGCGCATAGCTGGGGAACACGCCGCTGCGGATTGTCGGAATGGCGCAAGTCTGAAGAACATCGCCCCCGTCTGGCGGCGTCGATGTCGGTGACAACGTGGACTCAGTAAAACAAAACGTGTCGCCTGCCGTGTTGCTCACTGATGGTGTTATGCACACTCGCTCGACGACGATCTCGTTGTTGACCAGTGTGCCAGTGATTGTTACCTGTTCGTCGAAGGAGCGATCACCAGCACGTGATTGCTCTGCCTGGCCCATTTCAGTGACGAGGGCGTCCCCGATATCATCCAACTGATGCTTCGCAGCGTAAGTATAGCCATCAGACGTGGGTGTCGACAGCGCCTCCAGAAGCACATAACCCAGAGCCTTGCATGCGGGAACCTGCCACAAACAATGAAGGGCGTGTGTTCCCGGAGCGGTGCCGAGCTGAGACCCATCGATGCCCTGATGACCCGGCTGGTCCCAGCAGTAGTTGTCCACCACGTAACCAGTGAACTCGTCGGCTGCCACTGTGAAAGATAACGTGAGCTGTATGGCAACCCCTGCGAGCACGCCCATCGTTCGGAAGCCCGCGCCCACGCTGCTTGAGCACTGCGGCAGGGGCCCAGGGACTTCAGCCGAAATGGCTACGGACAACATGCCTCGGGGTCTGGGGACTGCAACGCTAGGCTGCACGGGCGGCTCTCTAGCGAGGTGGACACCATGGCGGAGAATGCGTGTTGGCAAACGCACTGCTCGGTACAATGCAGCTTCAGGCCTCGGAACAAATAGCGAACGCTCATGCCACATTCATCCGTCAACGCATCCCCTCCCCCCAATGTTCAAAGTTGGCGGTGGGTCTGGTGTGCTGTACCTCGACCTTAGTCTCCCCCGCGCGTGCCAACATTGAGTTTGGGGGGCAGGGGGGGTGTTCACTCATCGTTTCCCTCTACCGTTGCAACCACAGCCTCATCGCAGAACCCCCGCGTCAACCTCGAGCCAGTCGTCGGCGAGACCTTCCTCGAGCAGCCGCCCACGAGGAGGGTGCCCGACGTGGGCAAGGCGCCGACGCCGCATCACGAATCAGCGCCAGGCAATTTCGATCATCAGAAGCCTCCCAAATGTGGTCGGGGTAGATTGAAGGGGCCCTGGGACACACACAAATAACACACAAATTAAAGCATTACCCATAGTTTCCCATATTTTCGGTGTTTTTGTTTGCCCCCCCATTTCCCATATTTTCTGGGAATCGACGATTCATTGTGTCTGTGTTTTTTCCCTCCTGTTAGATGGGTGTGGAGGATGCGGCTGCGTCGTGGATGCGTCGCCGATGCATCGGCGACGCATCCGCGTCATCGTCGCGGCGAAAATCGGGCCCCACGTCGAGCCGCATCGTCGATGCGGTGCAATGCCCCGACCGACCCCGTCTCCTCGGACCCCTTCGTGGGGCTTCACAGTCGGGCCATCAGACTGGGAGCGCCAGGCCCAATCGGTGACCCGCGGCCGCGACAAGGGACCCGGCGTCGCACACTTTTCGCTGGTGATGGCGGACCTCGCCGCGCAGGTGCCCCCGAAAGAGAGAACCGCAGATCAAGGATTGACCAGGCAGCGGCGAGGACACCACCGACGGCGCTGAACTCGAGGAACAGAAAAGTGGCATTCACACAACCTGTCGGAAGTCCGCGCGGATCTCTTGGATCGGCTCTGGGCCCGTCTTCCTGGCGCGCTCCGCGCGCCAGGGGCGGCGCCAGAGGCGCCGCCAGGGGGCTCTCCACTGGAGAGTTCCTGATTCCGTGTCCACATGAGAAGGTCTCTAGAGCCCCGCGGGTCCCCGAAGCCTCGGACGGCGAGGAGTGCCAGCAGGTCAACTGCAGTCTGGATCGAGCTCTGACCGATCTCGCCAGCTCGTGTCTGTGCCCCTGCTGCTCCTCGGCGAACTCCACCGCAGGGCGCGGCGCCGCAGGAGTGAGTTTCTGTGTATGTCGTCGCTTGTTCCTCGATGGGCTTCGCTGGAGCTTCCAACGCGGGTGATGAAACGCGCCCCTGAAAAACAAGATCGCATCGGCTCCCCATGCGGGCAGTACGTATATCCATATCGAGAGCGTCTTGGACTTTTCGGGAAGAGGTGCCGCAACGCCGAGGCGCACTGGATATGGATAAAATCAAGCGTCTTGTGGCCAGATGTTTATCCATATCCAGTGCGGCTACGGTTTCTGGGGAAGAGAGCCCAAGACTCCAAGACGCACTGGATGTGGCTATAACTATTGCCCGCACCCCACACAGTCCAACCTTCAAACTCTGTCTGTTCCTCGAGCGCCGCTGGAGCTTCCCGCGCCCGCCTGCAGGCCGCCGGCCCCCCGCGCGCCCGGACGTGCGCGGCACCGTGGCAAGACTGTGGACCCCCCCCGCACGGCGGCCTCGCAGGCCCTGGCCGGAGTTGACTTCCGCCCCTCTCAGGCCTTGGGCTTCGGCGGGGATGCCTAGACGGGCGCGTTCCGCTACTTGAAAAAGCAACTGCTCGAAAATGGCCTCGATCCGCCGCGGGGGATCTACGACACATTTGGTCAGAAATGCATGTTTTTCGTACAATTGCGAGTCGGCACTTTGCGAGTAGTGCACGCGCTCGGTGAATGTCGGATCTCATGGAACAGCGGGCGCTGGAACGCGGGCGTGGCGACCTCGAATCCGAGCGGCCCCTCGGCGCCAGAGTCGAGCCCTTGGCGAAGGGCGACGAGGGCTCCCCCTCCTCCGCTTCCCCTGCCCCTCCACCCTCCCCCCTCCTCGTCCCTTCCCTTCTCCCACGAGCCGCCCCATCTTCCGTTTCCCTCTGCCCTCCCCTCATTCATTCCTCTCTGCCTCTCCTCTTCCCCCTCGACCCCCTTTCACCACGCCGCCCCCAATCGCCCCCCTCATCGCACTCCACTTCCCCCCCGTTCTCTCGAGCAGCGACGGGCGTGGCTATGGCGCAGCACCTTGTGCTAGCAGCTTAGTCGTGGAGCATCAGCGGGGCCCAACGCCGATCCACAAAATCCGCGCGGAACTCCGACAATTTATGTGTACGTATGCATTCATGTGTTGTTCCTCTACTTTCGCCGATACATTGCCCGATGTACAGTCGGTGCCTTGACCTAAGGAACCCAAAATAAGGAACGAGGCCCCTCTTTTCCCATAAGTTAAACTTCGATTTCCGATCGAAAACAT